TTGCGATAGTGATTTCTGAACCGTTTTTTGCGAGAGCTTATTTTAGGCCTGATTTTGCTGCTATCAGACGGAAAAAGTTTGCGGCTCGATATTTTTGGTTTAAAGCGAAACTGAAACAAAAGAAATTCATTTTTGAATAGTATTCGGTAACCTCTACTTGGGAGATAAAAATCGGCCGATTTTATTTTTTAGCCGGAAATCATCGGTCGTTTCTTAGGCGCAGGGCCTCTTAAGTTTGATAACTACAGTAAAAACCAGCATGTAAAAGTAGTGATTTACTTAAAAAAAAAACCTACAGCTGTACTAACAGAAATGAACCATTTTAATAATACAAGAACCTACATGTTTTAAACCAAGAAAGATCAAGCAGGCTCTTTTATTTGGTTTAAAGTTTAACTATGATAAACTATAGAGATACACTTGTGGATTTTAAGAGCACAAACATTATTTTAATTTTTCTGCTGCTTAAAGACTATGTATATTTCATAGACAAAAATGGACCTAATTTAACAAAAAATTACTATGTGTTAATATTCCCAATAACTATCCAAAGCACAAGAACCTATTTTGCGATACAGTCAACTTCCTTTAGAGCGGACACAATAGGGAGCTTGAGTTAGTGTCTTCATTAGTGATAGTCCATGATAGCGGAAGTTTATTTCACTCAAACATCTGTAATTTATTTTTGCTTGGAATTTAGCTGCTGTCCATATTATTGGGGATGTCCCTCATACCGTGATGTTTACAAGGCGAGCATTCAGTGTATTTCGGAAAGTAGGTTTATCAAACATGCAGGTTTTTACCGTAAGTTAAATAAAGAAAGGAGACTGAACAAAACAATATTGCTACAATGAAATAATTCCAAGAAGTTACTTTTTTTGCCGAAAAACTGGCTTTTGGAGTAATATCCCTTTCAACACAAGACCTAATCCTAATCTCAACTTAAGAGCCTTTTTATTTCTTAGGCCTGGCCACATAGTAGACCATTGTCCACACAGGTTTATTACAGCAATGGCCCGTTCATTTGTTATGCATGGCCACACAGGCCCTCAACCACACAGGCTGATTACAGCATAACGGCACTTTCACTTGTTATGATGGCCACTAAGGCCCTCAGCCACACAGGCTGATTACAGCATAACGGCACTTTTATTTGTTATGCATGGCCACACAGGCTGATTACAGCGTAACTGCACTGTTAAAAACGATCTTAAAGATGTTTCATTTTTTTGCCTTAGATTTTCATTTCGTGCTAAGGACAATTTACCTTCCTTCCCTTTTTCAGGCACTCACTACGTGTTGAGAAACAATGCATTTCGCCAGATCCACAGGAATAACAAAATTGTTCATGGTCTGTAAACAGTGTTGGCTCCATGTACAGCACATTTCCATGGCCTGTGAACCCTGTTGGGGCTAGGAATTTTTTGACAATATCGGATTTGAATTAAATGTTTTGTAAACCAAGAAGGGGGAGGTTGCATGGTGGCGCCACCCCTTCTTGTTCGTATTTTCAAACCAAAAAATGTCTTTTTTGTTCAATAGACAGTCCGTGGATACTCGAGTCATGATTTTCCAAGGCTGCCCCATAAAAGTAAAACTTACTACTGTAAATCATCAGGGATGGTCAAACCTATTACATCTTTTCAGACCCTGATTTTTTTTCTTTCATAGCAACTCATTGGATATTAAAGCACTTTATCATTGGCAAGGAGTGGCTCTTTTTTGTGTAAATATGCCAAACATTTTAAGGGCGTGAGGTCACTAAGACGTTACGTATGTCCCGTATGTAATCAGGTCATTCAAACTAGTTTTGCTTTTGTCTTTATAGCAAATCATTGGAAAATAAACCAGTTCATCATTCGCAACGGTTGGCCTTCTGTGATTATGTTTGCTTCTTGGGCGTGACGTCACTACGACGTCACACATGTCCCGAATGTAAATAAGTANAACGATCTTAAAGATGTTTCATTTTTTTGCCTTAGATTGTCATTTCGTGCTACGGACAATTTACCTTCCTTCCCTTTTTCAGGCACTCACTACGTGTTGAGAAACAATGCATTTCGCCAGATCCACAGGAATAACAAAATTGTTCATGGTCTGTAAACAGTGTTGGCTCCATGTACAGCACATTTCCATGGCCTGTGAACCCTGTTGGGGCTAGGAATTTTTTGACAATATCGGATTTGAATTAAATGTTTTGTAAACCAAGAAGGGGGAGGTTGCATGGTGGCGCCACCCCTTCTTGTTCGTATTTTCAAACCAAAAAATGTCTTTTTTGTTCAATAGACAGTCCGTGGATACTCGAGTCATGATTTTCCAAGGCTGCCCCATAAAAGTAAAACTTACTACTGTAAATCATCAGGGATGGTCAAACCTATTACATCTTTTCAGACCCTGATTTTTTTTCTTTCATAGCAACTCATTGGATATTAAAGCACTTTATCATTGGCAAGGAGTGGCTCTTTTTTGTGTAAATATGCCAAACATTTTAAGGGCGTGAGGTCACTAAGACGTTACGTATGTCCCGTATGTAATCAGGTCATTCAAACTAGTTTTGCTTTTGTCTTTATAGCAAATCATTGGAAAATAAACCAGTTCATCATTCGCAACGGTTGGCCTTCTGTGATTATGTTTGCTTCTTGGGCGTGACGTCACTACGACGTCACACATGTCCCGAATGTAAATAAGTACCTCTCGAGATTGCATTAAGCGAAAATAGTGATTTTTATTTCCAATACAGTGTGCTTTTTCTTGACTTTCGGTCTCGCTTTCATGTCACTTCTGGTGGACTGGGGAGTAGTTGGGGGTTACTGCCTTCTGATTGGCCCATTTGAGGTCACGTGAAAAAACCCTTCGTCAAATATGCAAAGAGGTCATGTGACTTGCTAAAACAATAGGTCTATTGTCTTTGCTGCGCTC